CAAAACCCTAAGTGTTACAATCAGCAAAACATCAGACAAACCCAAACAGGAGGATATTCTACAGGATACCTGCTCCCAAAGACAGCCTAGGCCAAGGAAAAAAAAGGGAAAGGCTGAGAAACTGTCACAAAGGAGGCTAGGGAGACAAGTAAATACAATGTGGTACTCTGGAATGGATCCTGGTACACAAAGAGGACATCAATGCAAAAACTGGTAAACAGAGTATGGAGTTTAGCTAATGTAATAGACCAATATCAGTTTTTTAGTTTTGACAATGTACCATGGTAGTATGCTAACAGGGGAAAATGGGTAAGGGTTTCCTGAAAACTCTGTTCTACCTCTCAACTTTTCTGTAAATCTTAAGTTACCCTAAAATAAAAAGTGTATTTAAAAAATTGGGGCTACTCCTGCTCCTTCTATGTAGTTGTGGCACACTGATCTGACCATGAAACCATTTACCTGGGAGTTTAGGGCCACTGCACTGATTAACATGTAGAGAAGCACAATACAGTGTATCTGCAAAACTTGGTTGGGTTCAGAATATGAAGTTAATATCATATACTCTCCCCATTCCCAACCCCCTTAATACACCAGAGACATAGCTTTTTATTAAAAAACTTTTTTTAATTGGTTTACAAAGGAGCTACAGACTACATTGAAACTAATCTTTGTACAAAAGGCCAAAAAAAAAAAAAAAAGCCCCATAAAACACCCAGAGACAAAAGGTAGGGGGGAGAGACAAGAAGATACAAAGGGATCAAGAAGAAACGTAGAGACGAGATTAGCATCATACATACATAAGAGTGGAGGGGGAAAAGAGAGCAAGATGAGAGAGCATTTAAAAGTATTTACCCACACAGCCCTGGTGATTACTGGATTGGAACCAACAACAAACACAGCATGAGATTAAGAGGTTTAAAAAGGCAACAGTGGTATGGAGACTGGTTATTGCCAGTGTTAAGAAAAAGAAATAAATTTTTAGGCACCAGAGATTGGAGCACCACCCTTCCTCCCCAGAGAATGACAGACTTGGGAAGAGGAAGCAGGCCCTGGGTCAGCTGCCACTAGTGTATAGAAGGTGTCTCCTAAAGTCAATCTCAGCATATTTTTTCCAAAGTCTTTGTGCCCTAGACTCTAGGTAAGGGTATGGGATGTCACTGGGACAAAGGGATGATCAGAAATATGAAGACCTGCCCTTATCCACAATGTTCAAGAGCAGTTGCTGGGAAAGTGGAGGACAGTGTAGACAAAGTCCATTCCCCTGTGAAGAAGGCACAGTGTAATTCCTGAAGGCGGAGAAAAACACACACCCCAGGAGAGGTATCAACAAAATCCTCACTACCTGCAGCTCCAGTCTCACTTCATTTGTTATGCCTTTTTCTGACACTGAGTTGGGACTAGGGGAGTTGAGGGACAGATCAATATACCTCTCTACTCCCTTAGCAGAGACAAACCAGACTGGGGCTGTTTGATAATGAGGAAGGGGAAATGCGACAAAATACTCCTCTTTCAAATGAACGTTGCGGGGGAAATCTTTATGGGTTTGGGGAAGTCAGAGTGGAGATGTAGGGGAGTAATGAAGCCAGGGGCTCTCCCCTTCTTTCCTTTCCCAGCCTTCAATCTAAGGCAAGTGAGCCAAATCTCGAAGAAGGAATAGGAATTTAAGCTTAAGGCTGCCTAACATCTTCCTGGGGGCTGGTGTTTAGGGAAGGCAGACAAAGAAAAGAAACAGGTCAACCTCAAAGCTGGTTTGCTCATCCTCCTAGAAGAGGTCTGTACCCTGGAGTAGAGCCAAAAGAGACACTAGAGAGAGCACAGTCTCCCAAACAAAAGTAACAACCTGCCCATATTTTACCAGCAGTTTTCAAAAGCAATGTTTTCCGGGGTTGGACAAGTGCCATATCCTCCTCCCTTCCCCCAAAGCTACTGCTGCCACCTTTCATCCTTATTCTGCAGCTCTTGTAAGGGAGTTAAAACTCGAGATTTTTTTTTTTCCTCCCAACTCCAAGAGCCTACCTAGCTTCGGTGAGGGAGAAAGAGAGCTATGCAAAAGGCCCCTCACTTGGGGCAGCCAGACTGTCCTCATTTTCTTGGTACCTGATCCCCAAAACTCTTCTGATCTGATCCCAAGGTCTAAAAGGCATCAGGGCACTGAAAATTTAATGAAAACTTTAAGCAAGTAGCACCAGGGCTCCCCCAAAGCATAACAGGGGCCGGATTAGCGCCCCCAGAAGAACCTCTCAAAAAGTATATAAATTTATTGCCTCCTAGCAAAGATCTGCAGCTTCCAGTATTCACACAATGTGAAGATATTAACAATACAAAATATATTCTGAAAGTCAAACACCTGCAGTTCATAGTGCTTTCTCAGATTTGTTAAAAAAATACAATGCTTAGTTTCCTATATAGGATATACAAAAGCAAAAAATATATATATATATATATGTATATAGTAGAAATAAATCAGCCATAGTAATTTACAGCTTTTGTCTCCAACCCTCCCCTAATCATAATTTTTACCCCACACTTCAGTCTATACTTTCTGGGATCTAAGGTTTAATTTATTCTGAGCCAGGCTGAGAAATATTCATTAAATTGCATTCTATGTAGCGCCCACAGAATGCCAGCTGGGAAGTCCCTGAAGGAAGATGGTGTGGGTTATTACTGCTCTGGGTAGAAAGTGACACAAATGATAAGCAAATAAATGTGAACGGGCAGCCTGAAAGGACAAAAGAATGAGTATTTTAATATCACCACGCCTCTGTACATCCCCTACCCTACAAAGTTTGGTCACTTAAAAAACTCATGAAAAAAATTCAGAATCAATATGCGTATCTATTACATTAATTTCTGCTGGCCAAAAGTTCAGCGAAAGGGGATTTTTTTTCAGTAATGAGCTCCTGACTCAAGGAATGTAGGCTCCTAACTTCCTGTGGAAAAGACGGAGTGGCTCACTGCTGCTAAGAGACAAAAAGCAGAAGCTGCTTCTGTTTTGGGGCCAAACAAGATACTGGATCTGAAGGTTCCTTGGTGAGAAAGGAATAGAGCAAGTGGAAGGAATTAGATATAAATTCACTCATGGTAATACTAATAAAGGGGGCTGAAGGTGAACAAGCAGCTTCCCAACCAAGAGAGAAACATCATCAGATCACCTTCCAAAAGCTTGTCCTCAGCATCATTAAGGTAGCTTACGTCTAATAATTTTATACTGGAGAAGATTCCATTCCTTGAAATGCTCTAGCAAAATAAAAATACTACACACTCCAGTAAGTTATCTGCCCCTTTCTTCCAAAAATGCCAAAGTACATGATTATGGACATATAATAACCAGTTCTGAGTTCTGCCTTTCAGTGGGAACAAAGGATGTGATAATGGCTGGGCATGGATGATTTTTACATCAGCATTAACAGAATTTGACCTGGGAAAAGTTCCTTGCAATAGTTCCTGAGTGTTAAAAACAGAATTGCATTTGTAAAGAAAGGACCAAATGGAGTGAACTATTGTTTAGAATATTAACAGTTATTATATTTCAGGTTAATCAACAACACAAACTTACCCAAAACCTAATTTGAATGAATTTTATGTAAAATATATAGTAGAATCACAGCATTATCTATTTGCAGACAAGTAAAAAGACTTATGAAAAGAATAAGGACTCTGTTATAGATCTGGATGTTGGTTTCACTTTCAAGCACAAAAACATTTTCTTCTTTAAGAAGTACAGAATATCCCCCATTCATAATTGTAACTAATTTAGCATAAGCAGAGAAGTGACCTCAGGAATATACTTAGTTTTAAGATAGACTTCTAGGTAATGGGCCTGAAAGGCATTTTGATCTGAATTTATTTTCCAACAATTTCAAATATAATTTCTCATCTGTGTGTAGATATATACAGGCATGAACACACATTCACACACACAGTCATACACAAACATTTGCTTTCTATCAGATCAGGTAATTTTTATTGCAGGTCTCTTTTAATATTGGCTAACAGAAAACCTATCCCCAACCTAACAGATTACACACATACACACAGGCATTTCACACTTCCTCACAGTGAAAAGCTCTCTAACAAGATACCAGAAGGTCAAGAGAGACAATGCTTTAATGGCTGGGCCTTGAGGACAATTCTGGTTGCATTTAAATCTCAGTGCCAAATACACTGAGTTCCCTGCCGCTATAATTTTTGGATCAGTCTCTTCTGGAATCAGACCATGGAGAAAACAGGATAATTTATCCCAATCTCTCCTATAAACCACAGTGGTAAGACAAGATTTCTTTTTGTTCTGGGCTATCATTCCCATGATCATGTGCTTCCTTTTTCCCTTAGGAACCACCCAAGTACATACAAGGAAGAACTGAGGGAAAAGATCATAAGAACCACTGTCTTGCCACTAGTACATGCCCTGGAGTTCTGCAGAATGGAAACCCGGAACAGATTCATTGGCTGATGCTCCTTATCAACATAATGGAAAAGAAACTACGGGGATGTTCAAAAAAGGATTTTTGTATTTCCTTTCAGAATATAAACTCAGAAGCCCACACATCAAATCTTAGAGCAATCTTAGAAGACAGCGGGACCAAAATCCAAATATTCCACTAACTCCTGAATTCGACAAATATGAGTCCCTTCCTCTCTGAGCACATCTTTTTTCCTAGTGAAAGCCCCTAACTATTATTTGACTCTTTTCTGACAGTTTATACAAAAAGATCCCAAATTATAACATTCAAAGGGTCTCTTGTACAATTCCACGAAAAGACTTCTGATTCTTGATGCTTAGAGCAGCTAATAAAGGAAGATGTCTATGACTCTCCAGCGCCAAGAAGGTGCCTGCGTCAGTAGTATTTTGAACACTCCCTCCACAGCTACCTGAAGCATCAGCCTTGGCTTGAAGATTTTTCCATTCTGCTGCTGGGACTAAGGTCTTATCGACAGAAATGCCTCATCTGGGGATCACTAACAAAAACAAAACATGAAGTGATCAGGTGAGAGAAGGGGAGACAGAGTTGAGTGTGGAAAGGAGTGCATGAAGCTGATCCCAAATAAAAAGATAAAATTAAGAAAAGAAAAACATTATGTATATATATATAAACTAAAAGCAGAGCATATGAATGTTTAATCTGGTGGAAGCCAAGATAACACCTATAGAAAAGCTTGATGTGTCACAACAAGGCTCAGCCATAGGGAAATAAGGCAATATAAAATAAAAAAAAAATGACCATGGTATTTTGGTCACAGAATGGTCTCCTTCCTCCTCCCAGCCAACCCCTGTGAATGCATCTCTATATATCTTTATATATATATCTATATATATATAATATAGAATCTGTTTTTGTTAAAAAGTATTTCAATGATCATATATATTTATCAAGGCATGATGGCTTTAGGAAAGGGGGGATCCATCATAGGAGAGCTGAGAAGAGAAATACAGGAAGGGGAGGCTGGGGCAAGAAGTGTAAGAAGAAACTGGGGTCAAAAAAATGCTCATCAAAGGGTGGCACCAACAGAACTTTCACTAATGTTTCCCACCTTCAAAAAGGCACTGATGATACAGGTGGGTGCCAGGATCCCATTTCTTCTCTTCTATCCCTCCCTCAATTCTTCCCACCACCATGCATTTTAATGCCTCATGGCTTGCTCTCCCACATGTCTCTTGGACCCATGCTACCTTGCATCCCAGGGTTGACAGGTATGGCCCATATGTCTCTGGCCCCGGGTGCCTAATCTCAGAAGCCATTGCCACTGATATTAATGGACTGCAGATCCGCCACCTGCATGACGTTAATGCCACTGTTGGCAAGACGGGCAATACCCTCTGGACAGATGGCCTCCATGGCTACCATATTGGTGGTAATAAGGGCTGAAGGTGTGGCAGTGCCACTGCCTTCTGAGCCTGCCCCACTGTCCAGGGGCAAAGTGCCCACACTCAGCGCTACACCTGGGCTTCCCTTCTTATTCTGGTGGGTCTTGATATGTTTTGACAGATGGTCACTCCTCATGAAGCGTTTAGGACACTCAGGGCAGGCAAATTTCTTCTCACCTAGGTAACGAAGAAATAGAAGGTAAGAAGATTACATGCCATGAAGTGGGGTTACCTTGACCAATTCACTGCCTTCAAATTACATTAGAGAATAAGACCAGTATTAGAATGTGGTTAAGAACAAGAACATTCTGGCAAATATCCTTCCCTTTTTAGGAGGAAGAAAAATAGATAAAGGCTGGGAAGTACTCAGTAAGGAAGGTAGAAATTGGTCAAAAAAGCAGGACAGAGACTCAAAAGAGTAACAGAGCCCATGTTCCTCCTTCAAAATCCTACTCAAAATCTATCTCCTTCTTTTTTTTTTTTTTGAGTTGGACTCTCACTCTGTCGCCCAGACTGGAGTGCAGTGGCTGCTCCCGGCCACTGCAGCCTCGACCTGCTGGGCTCCGGCGATCCCTCCACCTCAGCCTTCCAAGTAGCCGGAATCACAGGCATGCACTACCACACCCAGCTAATTTTTTTATTTTATTGTAGAGATGAGGTCTCGCCTGCCCAGGCGGGTCTCGAACCTGCGGGCTCAGGCAATCCACTCACCTCAGCCTCCCAAAGGCGCGGGATTATAGGCTGAGCCACCGAGCCCGGCTTATCTCCTTCTTTTTTAAAAGTTTTCTAGATTCTACATTTCCATGTGTGACCCATATATTCAGTTATAAATATAAGCTGAAATTTTAGTTATTTCAGACATATGTATTGTTTATCCATTCTGGTCTATTACTAGTTTCTCTTCCATAGGTTCTTGCTCACCTGTATGTGTGCGTTTGTGCCTCTGTAGCTCATCCGAACGTGTGAAGCGTTTCCCACAGTATGACCAGGTACACATGAATGGCCTCTCGCCTGTATGCCAGCGCAAGTGTGCCCGTAGGTGTGAGGTCTTGCCATATACTTTGCCACAGCCTTGCATGTGGCAAATGTGCTGTTTCTTTTTGCCAGGATCCCCAGAACCCCTGAAAGTAAGGAAACAACCTTTTCATCATACATTTTTAAAACATAAATCAAAGAAGCAAACGGTAACAATCTAATCCGAACTTTTCTTTCTTTCTTTTTTTTTTGAGTTGGAGTCTCACTCTGTTGCCCAGACTGGAGTGTAGTGCCACACTCTTGGCCACCGCAGTCTTGACCTGCTGGGCCCCAGTGATCCTTCCGTCTCAGCCTTCTGAGTAGCTAGAACTACAGGTGCGCACTACCATACCCGGCTAATTTTTTATTTATTGTAGAGACATAGTCTCGTCAAGTTGTCCGAGTGGATCTCAAACCCGCGGGTTCAGGCAATCCACTCGCCTCGGCCTCCCAAAGTACTGGGATTATAGGTTGAGCCACTGAGCCCGGCCTATTTGGTTGTTTTCTAAGAGACAGGGTCTTGGCCAGGCATGGTGGCTCATGCTTGTAGTTTAAGACCAGCCTGGGCAACACAGCAAGACTTTGTCTCTACAAAAAAGTTAAAAAATTAGCGAAGCATGGTGGTGTGTACTTGCAGTCCCAGGTACTCAGATGGCTGAGTCTGGAGGATAGCTTGAGCTCAGGAGTTTGAGGCTGTGGTGAGCCATGATTGTGTCACTGTACTACAGCCTAAGTGACAGAGCAGGATTCCAAATTAAAAACAAAACAACAAAAAACAAGTCTTGCTCTGTTGCCCAGGCTGGAATGCAGGGCTTTAATCATAGCTCACTGAAGCCTCCAATTCCTGCAGTGAAACAATCTTCCCATTTTAGCCTCCTGTGTACTTGGAATTGCAGGTGCACACCACCAGCCTGGCTAAATTAAAAATATATATATTTTCTTGTAGGGATGGAGGTCTCACTTTGCTGCCCAGGCTGGTCTCCAATTTCTGGCTTCAAGCAATTCTCCCACCTTGACCCTCCAAAGCCAGGATTATAGGCGTGAACCACTGTGCGTGGCCTCCTGTTCCTTAATTAAAAAAAAAATTTTTTTTTTGAGTTCAAGTCCCACTCTGTCACCCAGGTTGGTGTGCTCACTACTCATAGCATGCTCACTGCTACTGCAGCCTTAACCTGCTGGGCTCAGATGATCCTTCACCTCAGCCTCCTAAGTAGCTGGAGCTCCAGGCATGCGCCACCACACCTGGATGCTTAATAAATCTTGTTGCTTGTTATGTTTAAAGATATTATTACTCTGATGGTGACCTGTAAAGTTGTGAGGCATTTTTGTGTTTGTCAGGAAGTTTAAGTCTCAATCCAAGTATTTTCCACAGGAAATACTGTTGACTATGGTGGTATTTTTGGCTGCGGACTTACTGAGCAGAGTCCATTTAAGCACCTGGTAGAGAACTTGAAAGAAAATAAAGTATTTTAAGTCGGGCTTGGTGGCTCAGCCTGTAATCCCGTGCCTTTGGGAGGCTGAGGTGAGTGGATTGCCTGAGCCCACGGGTTCGAGACCTGCCTGGGCAACTTGGCGCGACCTCATCTCTACAATAAATCAAAAATTAGCCGGGCATGGTAGTGCGTGCCTGTAGTTCCAGCTGCTTGGAAGGCTGAGGCTGAAGGATCGCCAGAACCCAGCAGGTCGAGGCTGTGGTGGCCCAGAGCGGCCACTGCACTCCAGTCTGGGTGACAGAGTGAGACTCCAACTCAAAAAAAAAAAAAAAAGTATTTTATAATTATAGAACTTTTCTCGCAAAATAACTGTCAAGAGTCAAATGGTAAAGGTTAAAAGCTGAAAAGGCTGGGGCAGTATCATGGACTTCAGAAGAGGAAGATGGGCTAAATAAACATTACAAGAGGAGAATAAAAACCCTTAACTAATTCAAGCTACATTTTAAAAGGCACTATATGGAGCAGATCCTAAGCTCCTCTTAGGAATCAGTACTAAAATGTTTTCTTTTACAATCCCAGAACTTTGGGAGGCCTAGGTGAGAGAACTGTCTGAGCTTACAAATTTGAGACCAGCCTGGGCAATTGGTGAAACCTCATCTTTATAATAAATAAAAAATTAGGCTGGGCTCAGTGGCTCAGCCTGTAATCCCAGTACTTTGGGAGGCTGAGGCAAGTGAATTGCCTGAGCCCACGGGTTCAAGACCAGCCTGGACAACTTGACGAGACCTCTTCTCTACAATAAATCAGCCTGGGCGACGGAGTGGAACTCTGATCACACACACACAAAAAAGCCAGGTATGATGGCGCATGCCTGTAGTTCCAGCCACTTGGAAGGCTGAGGTGGAAGGATCACCTGACCCCAACAGGTCAAGGCTACGGTGGCCATAAGCATGTCACTACACTCCAGCCTGAGCAACAAAGTGAGACTCAAACTCAAAAAAATAAAAAAATAAAAATAAAGTAAAATAAAATGTTTTCTTGCCAAACCAACTTGTTCCATGTATGATCCATTAGTGGGCACTAGGAAAATTTCCAAGAGGGACTTTTCTTGGGTTTTAACAGCACATATGAGGAGAGGAAAATCTCTAACAGAAATAAAATCACATTTAGATGAAAATCAGAGAACTTTCTGCAGAAATATAATCCACTTCAAGCTTTGTAAGAGGGAAACTACCATATTCACTGCTTTTGACCCTGGTCTGCTTTTCCTGTAACATGAAATAAACTACAAACAACTCAAATCACTTTAGTTTTGGTACTTTTCTTGTTTTCTATTTTTGCTTTAGTTTATTGAGACACAACTTTAATAGATCTTTCAAAGGCATTAAGAAGAAGACTTTGGCCAGGCACAGTGGCTCACACCTGTAATCCTAGCACTTTGGGAGAGAGAGGCAAGAGGACTGCCTGAACCCACAGGTTTGTGACCAGCCTGGTCTACTTCAGGAAACTTTGTCTCTACAATTAAAAAAAAAAAAGTGGCCAGGCTCAGTGGCTCAGCCTGTAATCCCAGCACTTTGGGAGGCCGAGGTGAGTGGACTGCCTGAGCCCGCAGGTTTGTGACCTGCCTGGGCAACTTGGCAAGACATCTCTACAATAAAACAAAAATTAGCCGGGAGTGGTAGCGCGCGCCTATAGTTCTAGCTACTTGGAAGGCTGAGGCGGAAGGATCGCCGAAGTCCAGCAGGTTGAGGCTGCGGTGGCCGGGAACGGCCACTCCAATCTGGGTGACAGAGTGAGACTTCAACTCAAAAAAAAAAAAAAATTAGCCACACGTGGTAGCGCGTGCCTATAGTTCCAGCTACTTGAAAGGTTGAGGTGGAAAGATCACCTGAGCCCAGCAGGTCGAGGCTGTGGTGGCCAAGAGTGTCACTGCACTCCAGCCTGGTGACAGAGTAGAGACTCCAACTCAAAACAAACAAACAAACAAACAACACTGTATTCATTAGGTTTCTTTTTCCTTGCAAGACTGTTTTGCAAGCAACCTTGTCAAAACCACCTCAAAATAGACATTTAGTAGCAATCATTATATCAGCTGGCTCCATTTGATTTCCCTATCTTTAAGTGAAAGCAGGTACCTATTAAGACCAATGTCTTAAAATTGATGAAAGGGTCAGAGTTGGAACCAAGAACCTATAATATAACCTATTCAAATGTACTCTACTACCCCTTTGCAACACTGCTGAGTCGAAGATAATAAAAATTAACCTTCCTCCTCTGATCTCTGAATCTTAATTTTTTCATTATACTCCTAAGAGTCTAGCTGGGTCAACTCACCTTCCTTCACTGTCTTTACAGTAGGGGCAGGTGCATGCTTCCCGCCGGGTCCTCCGACCAGCTTGGGGTTGGGGATCTGGGCTGTTCTCTCCCTCCTCTCCACCTGCTGTGTCATCATGTATTCCATCACCACCAGCCCCATGGAGACCAAGCTGAGCTCCATGATCACCTGAAATTAAGGGAGAAACATGGCAAGTTGAGAAGTAGAGAGGTCATCATAGCAATAGGCATCTCAGTGACACCCTGCATTCCCAGCACCACTTCTTCAATGTTTTGACACAACATTCACTGACACCACCCATACATGAAATCTCAAGAATCATCACTGAAAATACAAATTGTCAATAAGCATATAAATATTTTATCAATCTTACTCATTTTTTTTAATTTTTGTAGAGACAAGTTCTCACTATGTTGCCCCAGCTTGTCTCTAACTCCTGGGCTCAAGCAATCCTCTTGCCTTGGTTTCCCAAAGCGCTGGAATTACAGGCAGCTGCCATCACGTCCTGCCTAATAAACTGTTACAGAAAGGTGTCCAACAAATCTATTATTCATTCTCAAGTAACTCTACAGCTAAAATACTATGAAAATAGCCGGGTTCGGTGGCTTAGCCCGTAATCCCATGCTTTGGGAGGCTGAGGTAAGTGGATTGCCTGAGCCTGTGGGTTCGAGACCCACCTGGGCAACTTGGCGAGACCTCATCTCCACAATAAATCAAAAAATTAGCCGGGCGTGGTAGCGCGCAGCTGTAGTTCCAGCTACTTGGAAGGCTGAGGCGGAAGGATCGCCGGAGCCCAGCAGGTCGAGGCTGCGGTGGCCGGGAGCAGATACTGCACTCTAGTCTGGGCAACAGAGTGAGACTCCTACTCAAAAAAAAAAAAAATTCTATTCTCACGCTACATATATGAAGGAGGAGGAGAAGAAGAAGATGAAGAGGGGGGAAACAAGAACTGTAACACAAAATCTTATAATGTGTAATATAAATATTCACTTGTCTATTATCTTGTTTATGTGCTAGGCAAGTTTTATTTTTCTTAGACTTTTTAAAAGTATGTTTGCTATTATTTAATTCAGTTTATCGAAAGCTTACATGGTAAGGTATGTTCCAGGGACTATAGTGGGTTCAAAGATTATAAAATATATATTGTCTTTACCTCACAGGCTGAGCAATCTAATGGAGTTTTCTTAAGCAACCAGAAATTTAGACATTTTTAGTCTCTGTAATAAAATAGCACCTTATGTAGATGGCTTCTTAAAAGTTAATACCATAATTCTTTATTGAGATATTTGCAGTTTTTTATTCTCCTTCATTAGAAATGTGTACATATTTATTGAACTGGGCATAGGTAGTATTACTTGAAAAGAAATATAAGGCTGGGTGTGGTGGTTTATGCCTATAATCCCAGCACTTTGGGAGGCCAAGATGAAAGGATTGCCCTAATCCATGGGTTCGAGAACAGCCTGGGCAACTTGGTGAGAACTCATCTCTACAATAAATCAAAAAATTAGCTGGGTTTGACTGTAATTCCAGCTACTTGGAAAGCTGAGGCAGAAGGATCGCCTGAGCCCAGTAGGTCGAGGCTGTGGTGGCCATGAGCATGCCATTGCACTCCAGCCTGGGTGACAGAGTGAGACTCCAACTCAAAAGAAAAGAAAAGAAAAGAAAAGAAAAGAAATATAGTTAAATCGATTCTACTGATATACATCTCAATCATATTATGCACATATATGGAAAACACTATATATATAGTTAAAATTGTATACATAGTTAAAACTATATATGCTAAACTATATATCAAATCAATGCATACATAAATATACCAAAAAAATACCCTAAATTATATATATATATTTTTTTGAGTTGGAGTCTCACTCTGTCACCCAGACTGGAGTGCAGTGGCCTCTCCCGGCCACCGCAGCCTCGACCTGCTGGGCTCTGGCGATCCTTCCACCTCAGCCTTCCGAGTAGCCGGAATTACAGGCATGTGCTACCACGCCC